AATCTTTTATGAAACCAAGACCCTCAGGCATTATCCGTCCAGTTGTTTGAAAACAAACCTGCTCTTGTACAGAAACTAAGAAGGTAGTTGCTTACTGATTTTCAAATTATGTACTTGAGGTAATCTGGATAATGATTTCATTTAACATTTAAATTAGAGAAGTGAAATAAATTGAGCATGCTGATGACAGGATTAAATCGCTCAAGATTAAGACAATCTAATAGTTAGAGATTAAACAAGTCAGTCCTATTGCGATTTAAAGTTCTACAAGATGATGCAATTATGTATTAGTTTAGTGCATATATGAATTTTGGGTCATCACTTCTCCTTTGCTTGGTTATTTCATCTTTCCTTTTATAACCTTTCTTGATTCAGGTTTAAGACGAGCATCAGAAGCTGCTATTCTTAATGCTAACTATATGCTCAAACGTCTTAAAGATCATTACCTAATTCGTTACACCAATGACGCTGGCTTTTGCGCCCATGAATTCATCCTGGACTGTGAACCTTTTCATAAATACAACATCGAAGTGATTGACATTGCTAAGCGTCTGATGGATTATGGTAAGCTGAATATTATTGCCTTAAATGAGTAGAATACCAAAACTATTGGGGATTTGTAAATTTTTGTATGTCACTTCCCAACCGATAATAAAGTGGGAAAAACGAATAGCAAGAGATAGTGCACTTTATTTCTAGCGAAAATGTGAAGGAACTCAGCATAGTCATAACACATGAGTAGACTTGGGAACGTTTTCTTGTATAGGCCTCTTAAGCAAAATAACGAGGTTGAGGCAGGCAAGTAAAAAGAGGTACTTTTCAGCACACCTAGCCCTAAAATTTGTATTGATTTGCTTGACTCACAGGCATAAGCTAAAAGCTTAAAATTAATAGTTAATAGAAACTAGTATTATTGTCCTGATGGCAAAGATAAGTTTCATGAGAAATATAGGCCAAAGGTATCGACACTTATTAGAAATTAGTACGTAATTTTGAGAAAATCCTCTTTTTCTTGTTGTCTCCGAGTCACATTCACTTTCTCTTCTAGTCTATGTAAAATGTAAGTAATGGAGGAAGACTCACTTTTATCATACATAGTACATTTAAAATGCAAAAGTACAACCTTATCTGGAATTTTTGTAGGCGAAATTGCTAATCACCAATTTAGGCTTCAGCTTGTTTTCAAAGACCATTTAACTATCAGCTAAATATAATATCCCACGTATAAAATCAGTTTTGCACAAGGCCCCATGCTTCTTCGTATGCAAATAAGGCCTAACTGATGCCCCATTAAGACCCTATGTACTTATTAATGCACAGGTTTTGGTAAAGCTTAATTCGACCATTTGACGAGCCTGGGATACACATAGCTGAGTTAAGCGAACTTTTAGGCAGAAAATGCTAGTTATCCCAAAGGCAAAAAATATAAATGAACTTATTAAAGATCTCAGAATCCTGAAAATATTATTTCGCTTAAATTAACAGGAATACGTATGGACTAATTTGATAAATATCTAATCTATTGCCAAGTATATTGCAGAGAGAGCTAACGAAATAAATAGGAATGATGGATAATAGGATTACCAAAGGGCCAACATCAACCTCAATGTTAATTAGGACTGAGGGCAAAGTAATTTGGAAAACAATATTTTTCCGAAAACATTAAGTCATGCACACGCTTCTACTTATAAATGCATTCAAGTACTAAAGAAAATTACAATCAAAGTTGTAATCGACCACGATTTCATTTCATTATTCAAAATAGACAGGTTTCTAAACTAGTTATATGCGATGTACTAGCCCTATTTCGTTTAAGCTAATGAAGGACTGGTAGTTGAATGTCCCACTAATAATATGAGTAGAGCTGACGTTTCCATTGAAATTCACATGGCCATGCTCTCCCAAAAGGTGTTCTCATCCAGATTGGGCTGAGGTTTCTACCTCGCCTAAGTATTATCAACATCACCAGCAGAACTCGAAACATGACAGTGCAGCGTGTAAGCTAGACACGTTAACCACTACGCCACATTGCCACGAGTTCCCTTGGGTCATAGGTTAAATGTGAATTTCAAGGGAGGTCAGACATTTTTACATATCACATTCTTTGGTGCGATTGCCGACGTAACAATCGACGGGATTACTTATTTTTCGTTTATAAATAGGGTTTCGAGATGATCAGATTTATAAACTATGCATAGATGTAATTCAGACAGCTCGAGATACTTTAAACACATACAATACCATTGGATTTTGCTCAGCCTTCTTTTCCGAAAGGTTTTCTAGTCCGGGTTTTACCGGAGCTTTGACTTAGTTTGGGTTATATGAGATGTATTCACCCTATTTCGTCTAAGGTCGAAACTGCAGTCCAAGAAAATTAGTTTGGGTTCTACCAAAACATATAGTTTGACATTCTAAACTAGATATTGTGTCTAGTGGCAATGTTACCACTTAACCAGACATCTCGGAATGCCATTGTGCCACAGAATAGATATGAAATAGGTTGCTCCTGAACAAAATGTGTTACAATTTTCTGCTAGGATTAATCAAATCTACAATCGGTAGGGCATCTGCAAGCAAAACGTCCAAAAATTCATCACATATTCTTATTTTCAAGGTAACATGCAAATGCTTCAGAGTGTCTTATTTTTCCAGTTGCGGCATAAAGTGCTTTATATGAAGTTTTCCGGGGAACTTATTTATTGAAGACATCTTTCCGATAGCATCATTGCCCATCCTCCTTGTCGACATGCTAGTTGTATCACTTCGTTTACTCAGTATACTTCATTAGACTGTCTCTGACAACCTCCAAAGTTAGCCCTAACCTTTATCCATTGCCGCCAATTGTAGTCCCTACCTGTTTTATTTTCCGGATCAACACCACATCCTATTTATCACAATATCTCAACTTCAGGCTACCTTTAGGGGCTCTGGATATACTAGATTTTGGCTCACTCTTGATGGTTAAATACAACATTGCGGCTCTATTCTTTATAAAAGGTGGCATTCAGTTGCGTTAATTTATACCCTGGCATAAGACTTTGACATGTATACTCCTTCGGTTGCGGTTTAAAGCCCTGAGGTCATGGTTTCGTTACAGTAAAGGCTGGAAGCTGGAGTTGAATACCATCATCCATCTTTAGAAGCAGCGATGCTTATTGACAGAGGCAATCACCCTGCCAATCAGTCCTAATGCTCTCAGGCTGAAAGTTACATTTTTTATTAAATTCTAGTTGTTTGCTTTGAAGACTTTCGATGGGCCTGAAAAGCTAACAACCTTAATCGAAATGCCCTTTAATTACACCTCTTCCGGATCTTGCATGCCTCATATTTACACATTATTCATTTAATTGGTTGCTGGCATCAATCAACTTAGCCACCTATTCTCCTAGTAATTTACTCTAAAGTACTGGTTACATCGGCAATTGTAAATATCATCTAATACAATGTCTCACTTTTGGGCAAAACCTTTATCTCAATCCGTCAACGCCTGTAGGCTTTCACAGTCCAACGATGTCTTGGCCGGTTCCTTCTGCACTCATGGTGGAACCAACTGAAAGTGAGCCCAAAGAGGAGTGCGATCGATTCTGCGATGCAATGATTCAGATACGCAATGAGATCCAAATGATAGCTGATGGTCGCCTGGACAAAAAAGTCAATCCTCTCAAGATGGCCCCACACACAATGCAGGTATGTATACACGAATGTATTATTTAACTTACGGGACTGGTTATATTAAGTAATTAACAAGACTATGAGACTCAAAACATTTTTTCCTTTTGACCAAATAAGTCTTGTTTTCCGAGAGAGAAAACGGAATATTTATGTCGCGATAATCTAATTGTTTTGAAGGAGGGAACAATTATTGCAATTGCCATTATGGCTAGGCTAGATTATTTAGTAAAGATGGTTTGTCACTTGGTTGTCAATAGTGCATAAGAGTCTTTAGTGAATAAGCCAACATACAAACTTAAAACCAGGCAAATGGACGTCTTAAAGTTGTTCTCAAGTAGTGCGTAAATGAAAAAGTGGAATATTAACTCACTTTCTCTAAGAGATGCTAGGACGCTCACTGCTTAACTCGCCCAGAGATGCGCAATGAGGGCTTTTTATAAGAATAGTTGCACATAATAACTGATGCATAATATCTAAAGTTTCTGATGCAGACAACAATTAAAAAGTGGATGAATGCTGGTGATATACAATAATAAGCTTAATTGAATTTTTAAAATAAGTTGATCGACGTAAAACTTCGGAGGAAGACATATTAATAAGTCTTTAATTGGTAGCCATATCAACCAACTTCCCGATTCAGAGAGACATTAAAACCTTTGCACTCGCTAGAAGAGAATAAGTATAGTCATTAATTACTAGACTTCTTTATCGATCTATGAGTAGTCATTATCTCACCAATGAAGGCATTTTTGTTAAAATATATTTGGGGTTTTGAGAATGTAGGGCTATTTTTGTTTATATATAGGTTTCGAGACTACTAGTAGACCATAGATGTGGGATATCTTCCCTCTAGTTCATTTAAGATGACGATATACCAGTTGAGTTTTCCCACAAAAGTGAAAAGCTATGCAAAATTAAATGGAAACGTAAGGCCTACTCGTATAATTGTGGAAGAATTCAACCACCATTGCTTCATCGCCTTAAACGAAATAAGATGAATATATCCCATATATTTGACCTAATGGTTGTCTCAAAACCTACTTATAAACAAAAAAAAGTATTTAGTCGATCACTACAGCAAATGCATCTTTGTTTCATTTTCCATCCTACCACATAAACTGATATAAGAAATGCCTATACTTACTTGAAATTTGCGTGATCTAAAAGTACCCACGGCAGTGTCGTGTTGAGGTTAAAGTGTCTAGACTATCTGGTTTCGAGTCCTCTTGAGGCTACTGATGGGGCCTGCACGAGG